GGCACGGACGGGCGGGGCCCACACGTGGCGCTGCCTGCATGGGGGTCCAGGGTGTACCTGCCTGCATTGGAGGACCAGGGGGCTGCATTCACACGTGTCCCCACCTGCATGGGGGACAAGGGATAAGGTGGGGTGGGGCTGCACAGGTTCCCACATGCATGGGGGGACCAGGGAGTTGGGGCCACGTGTGTCCCCTGCCTACACAGTGGACAGGGGACTGGGTGGGTTGGGGTGATGCATGTCCTTGCCTGCGTGGGGGACCAGAATCGTGCATGCGTCCACTTGTGCAGAGGACAGGGAGGGATGGGCTCATGCATGCCTCCACCTATGTGGGGACAGGGTGGGATGGAGCCGTGCAATTCCCTGTCTACATGAAGATGGAGACCCTAGTGTGGTTTGGGGATAGTGTGTCCCTGCTTGCCATGGGCACAGGGGCTGGGCAGTTGGGGCTATGCAGGTCTGTGTCCTGCCATGGGTATGGGGCCAGGGGCAGGGTGGGGGGGAACAGGGTGTCAGGACATGCATGTTCCTGCCTGTGTGGGCTCAGGGATGTGGGCACAGGGGGCTAGTAGGACAGGGCCACATGTTCCTGTCTCATATGGGCACAGGAGCCTGGTGTCCCTGCCTGTGTGGGCACAGGGGACCACAGGAATTGGTCAGGGCCACTTGTTTCCCATGAGGGAGGGAGCCCCTGCTGGACACCATGGTGGCCCTGGGGCACTATCTGTTCCCAAATCCCAGGGCTGGCTGGCTGGTGGGGACAGGTAACAGTCCCACCAGCAGGGGGGTGAGCCAGAAATAAACTAAGATGTGACCAAGAGGGACCGTAGGGATCAGGCTCGAGGGTTGTCAGAAGCTGAGAGACTGCTGTCCTCCATCTGCACGGTCACGCTCAGCTCTGCCATGGGGCTGCTGCTCTCCCACGATACATTACTGTGGGCCAGGGAGCTGTTTTGCACCTGATGGGCCCCACAGTCCTGGCTGATGCACGGCTCTGAGACAAACTCCAGAGATATCTGGATGATGAAGCCAAACCTGCTGCGATCAGGTGGAGCTGGAGGTCTTGGCTCTGGGGCAGGCCATGTATTCATGTTCTTTTCAGCAGGGCTTCAGCATATACCAAGAGGTGGAAACTCTGGGCTTAAGACAGGGCATAGGGATCCTCTCTGGGGGAAGAGAGGGCTGGGGAACCTGGGGCTTTGATTTCACTGGGCACAAAGGGAGGCAGTGACTTTCCCAAGGTGGCGTAGGGAATCTGTTGAATGGCAGAGCTTGGAAGGCTCATGAGATCTTGCAAACTTCCCAGGCAACTTGACAGGCATGTGTAACTAATCCAAACTTGCAAATCTTTCCCTCAGCAAGCTGTATCGTGGACTTCTGGGACTGGTTCTGTTTCATTATGTCAAGGAGCCCCGGGGTGGTTTGTGAGGTTTGGGCAATGGCTGGGAGAGCAGGGGGCTTCTTCTGGAGAAGCTCAGCAACTGGGCCCTCAACAAATGGAGAGTACGGTGGGGAGAGCAAAGATGGAGCTCTCAACTGTGGTATGGGGAAGGAGCTCATGGGACAGTGACTGTTGTCATGCAGTCCAGCCTGTAAGGAAGCACCCAGTGGCTGGAGAAGGTCTGAGATAGAGGAGACATGGTGCCAGTGCCTCCCCATGCCTGCATAGCTTGAGCTCTGCCCTGGACAGATGCTCCAGCGGAAGAGAAACGGCATGTGAGTTTTGGTTGGGAGACACGCTGCTGATATACCAAATAACTCCTGGGAGGACATAGAACTGTGAAGGCAAGTGAAAGGCATAGAAGTTCCCATGTCAGATCTCAGAAGTGTTGGTGGGAAAGGACTTCAGGAGTCATAAGGAAAAACTCCTTTACTGTAAGGGTGACAAGGTTGTGGAGTCTCCTTCCCTGGAGATATTCAAAAGCCATCTGGACACCATCCTGGGCAAGATGCTCTAGGTGACCCTGCTTGAGCAGGGGAGTTGGACTCCAGAGGCCCCTTCCAACCTCAACCATTCTGTGATTCCGTGAGTCTCTAGTCCAACTTACTACTTGAAGCAGGACCACCATGCAAAGCCTCCAAGGACTCCCCAGAGTCTGGGACTGACCAGGTAATAAGTGGATTTTTGGTGCCAGGCAAGGTGAGGAGCACAAAAGAACTTGCATGTAATCTCACGACTTCTTGGCTTGAGAGTAATTCCTGTATCTGATGAAATGGGAGCTTTGGTCAGTAACAGGGAATTTTAAAACCCTTTTTC